GGCCTGAAAGACAAGCAATGGTGGTCGGTGCTCAAATCTGCTGCTGGCGCCAGTCATGGCTCGTCTATACCATGCTTGGTAGATGACGCTGGTCACCAACTCCGTATGAATGCTGCCAAAGCGAACTGCCTTGGTCGCTACTTCGCCAATAAATGTAGCCTTGGAGATGATGACTTGGGCCCGGGGGATCTCCCTCATGTTCGCCAACCCGGGGTCACCCCACTTAGCCGAATCCACTTCCGCCTGCAAACAGTGAAACGCCTCCTGAACCAGCTCGACGTTGGCAAGGCGTCCGGCCCGGACAACATCCCTGCCCGAGTGCTCAAAGAGTGCTCCCATGAACTTGCATCGCCTCTCACGTCTCTCTTCGCCCTGTGCTTCCGTAAGGGGGTCCAGCCAGAGGCCTGGAAGAGTGCTCGAGTTGTGCCAGTCTACAAGAAGGGCAGCCTATCCAACCCTAAGAATTACCGCCCAGTCTCCCTCCTCCCCATCATCTCCAAAGTGATGGAGCGTATTGTGAACTGTCAAATTGTGAATCGCCTTGAAAAACATCATCTCTTGTCAACCAAGCAGTACGGATTTCGCAGTGGCCTTGGAACAGCGGACCTACTAGCAGTGCTTGGGCATGATTGGTCGCTGGCAGCTGGTTCTGGTGGCTGTGCCCACGTCCTGGCTGTCGACATTGCTGGTGCGTTTGACCGCGTGTCGCACCCCGGCGTCCTACACAAAGCGGCCACTCTCGGTATTGGCGGTAGCCTGCTGCAGTGGCTACGGGACTATTTGCGGAATCGCACACTAAGCGCAATCGTCAATGGACAGGAATCTGCTCAATTCCAGATTAAAGCTGGCGTACCCCAAGGCATCATCCTGGGACCCACCTTACTCTTGATGTATGTCAACGATGCTGAGACCTGACTTTCCCCATCAACACGAATGGGTGTGTACGCAGATGACACCACGCTGTACACCATCATACGATCCAGACATGACTCTGCTGGCAGTATTGCAGACATGCAATCTAGCCTGGATCGATTGAGTAGCTGGGGAGAACAATGGCGAATTCGCTTTGAGCCGACAAAGTCGCAGCTGCTGCATATTGGCCACCACCGCAACCCCTGGCCACTCCCAGACCTAACGTTCGGAGCCCATGATATTCCCTGTGGGGACGAGCTGAAGCTTCTGGGAGTGACCTTCGACAGCAAACTCACCTTCAGACGCCACCTCCGCAATGTTTCTCTTCGTGCCGTAGCCCGACTAGGATTTCTGCGTCGAGCATCAAGTTTCCTTGGTCGTCAAGGACGCTTGACAACGTACAGAGGCTTCGTACGCCCTGTACTCGAATACGCACCATTGACATGGATGGGCGCAGCCAACTCTCACCTGCAAAGTCTCGACCGAGTACAGCGGAAGGCCCTTGCTATCATTGGTCCTGACGCCTTGCTGCAGAGCCTAGCTGCCCGCCGCCAAGTGTACGCTCTCACGTACATCTACAAGCTAATGTGCCTTCAAGACCATCCAGATCTCTCTGCGCTCGTGCCGCCTCGCCAGGAAGCTAGCCTCGTCCCGCGGACAAGGTCGCAGCTCCGTGTCCGCCACCAGCATCAGCTACAAGCAGTGCTCCTCCCTACGGCCCCCAACTTTCTCCAGCGTTCGTTCCCATATGGTGTAGTGGATGAATGGAACAGGCTTCCGCAAGACATGTTTCCGGATCCGATGCCCCAGTTGAAGTCTCTCCAATCCTTCAAGACGAAGGTCCATCGCCACTTGCGTCAAAAGAATTGGCTCTGGGCTACGGACTCCCTGTGAGGCTATGCCACCCGTCAATGAGCAACTACTCTCGTCCATCATCTCTTTCTTGTTTTATATTTATTTCTCTTCTCATCTCTTTCTTGTTTTATTTTATTTCTCCTCTCATCTCTTTCTTGTTTTATTTCTCTTCTCATCTCTTTCTTGTTTTATTTTATTTATTTATTTATTTCTCTCTCTCTCTCCCTCTCTCTCTCTCTCTCTCTCTCTCTCTCTCTCTCTCTCTCTCTCTCTCTCTCTCTCTCTCTCTCTCTCTCTCTCTCTCTCTCTCTCCCCCTCCCTCTCCCCCCCCTCTCTCTCTCTCTCTCTCTCTCTCTCTCTCTCTTACCCTCCCTCTCCCCCCCTCTCTCTCTCTCTCTCTCTCTCTCTCTCTCTCTCTTTCTCACTTGATCTCCCTCCCTCCCTAGCTGCATTCCTAACGATGCCTGGTCGTAGGCTATGATTCCGAGACCTCCGATCGGATGAGCCTCGCCAACCACATCGGCACATCGCCCCTACTCCCCTTTGTCTTGTTGTCCAGCGTCATTTCAGTTGTCCTCTTCCCCTGATTATTAGTAGGGCTGTGTTTTTTAGTAAAAAAAAAGATATATATATATATCACAGGGCTGAGGCGGATTCCACCGCTCCAGAACATCACCCCTGGCCCGCGTTTGTCCCAGACATTCCGCTGGGTGATACCCATCCCGGAACGGATGCAGCGCAGATGGAAATACCACAATGCATCAAGGTCGGGCTTCAATTGCACCCAACACTCAGCACAGTACAGAAGCAGAGACAACACGTATGCCCCGTACACAAGCTGCTTCGTAGCAAGGGAGAGGTTGCTATCATTGAAAAGCGGCTGCAGTAGGGCTCCAAATGCACGTGATGCACCGGCAATGCGCGAGCTGATATTTGGGGTGGATCGGCCATTCGTTTGAAGGAGAGAGTCAAGATAATGGAAACTATCTACACACTCGACCACCTCATCCGGCACGTCCAGAGGCAGCCAGTCTGCTTCCGCGAGTCCATATCCAGCAACCATCACCTTTGTCTTGTCCAGGTTGACTGTCAAGCAGAAAGAAGAGGCTACATGTAGGAATAGGTCAAGGGCCGGCTGTGCACCATCATGAGTGGTAGCCAACAGAGCAGAATCATCTCCAAATTGACACTCGTGATGAACCTTGCTCTTGTCTGTTGATTTTCGTCTGAATAGAAGACGGCCTCCAGGGTTTGTTGCCACAGGAATACCAATGCCACGAATGTCGGCAACAGCACGATGCCACTGCTGGAAAACGGCCCACATAAACAGCTTGAAGAGTACCAGTGCCATTCAGCAACCCTACCGGAGGCCGTTCTGCACCTCAATTGGTGGCGCATCAACTCCCGGGATCTTCAACGTTGCTGTCATATTGGCCTGGAAAGAGCATATGATGTTGATGAGGCGCTCAGGGACACCTGCCTGCTTGAGGATAATCCATAGGCATTGGCGGGTGACAGAGTCATACGCCTTACAGAGGTCTACGAAGACTAGAAAACCCTTGCACCGATGTTCGTAGAGCTTCTCTGCGACCTGCCCAACGGTGAAAACCATATCCGTGCATGACCGATCTTTCCTAAAACCACATTGGGAGTCGGGGAGGATGGTCTCAGCCAAAGGCTGCAAGCGGCGCTGAATCATGGCAGCAACGACCTTGCCAACCACCTCCAACAAAGCAATGCTCCGCCAGTTATCGCATTTGGCAAGGTTGCCTTTCTTCGGGATGGGGACCAGGTTGCTACACACCCACTCTTGAGGGAATGCTTCGGACTTCCACACGGTACAAACGACTTTTCCGACTCCCCCCCAAACAAAAAAATACACACACGCACACTCACCCACACACCCACATACACATACACATACAAACACACCTTTGACATTTGGACGCCCATCGACGAAGGCGATGATAGCAATGGCGTAACAACTTCTGCTGGGATCGCACCATTCAACAACTTGCAATGCGGAAGAATTGGCCAGCATTATTCAGCCTGGTCTACATCACACAGCTATGAAGTGCATTTTCTGCCCCCCCCCCCCCACCCACACACACATACACACACGCACACTCACACACACACACACACACACACACACACACACACACACACAGCCACAAGCACAAACACACTTGACCTTTGACGCCCATCGCCGGAGACGATGATAGCAATGCTACGGCAGAAGCCATAGCAACTTGTGCTTGGATTACACCATTCAACAGCTTGCAAGGCTGAAGAATTGACCGGTACTATTCAGCCTGGTCTACACCATACAGCTATTTGGAGTGACATTTTCTGGCCAGTGAATCCCTATTTTTGGTCTTTTCATTTTTTTTCCCCGAACACACATCACACGACATACTCCGGCATGCACTGGCTGTTGGTAACCACCCAGGAGAATGAAAGAAAAGTCAGGAAGAGTCTGAGAAATTTTCACCTTAATGTTATCAAAATGTCTAAGGGCACGGCCATGCAAGATTTCACCTTAAAAATCTGACTGTGAAGGAGAACTGGTAATGATTGGATATTCCGGTTAAGTCGGCCGAGGTCGGCTGCACCTGGTCACCAGAAAATAAACCCGGGCAAGGCACAAAGAGCCTCAGTTCTCCCACTTGTTTATACGCAGTATGGCATGCGCTCTCTTTCTTTTCCGACGGTAGGCAGGTGGAACTTTCTTCCAGCTGACTTTCTACGGGCCCATTCTCTTGCTCTGTTCATTAACATGGTTAGACTTCACCCAGGGCTCCCGGTAAAAAAGGCCGTAGCCTGTTGGGACTCAACTAGTAAAACAATAAAAGCTACTACTACTGCTACCGTACTGAAGTCAGAGCCAGACTGGCCGCCATCTTGTCCACGTTTGCAAAATTGGCAAGCTGTTGAACACCTGTATATTTTGAGGATATGTTCAGTATTGTATGAAGTAATCTACTGGTATCTGCAACTATATTTTGCTGAGAAGATACTTGTACCGATCGTTTGTATGTGACATTACGCGTGCACAATAATCAACTCTTCTCTACCCTTAAATTTAGTATGGTGATCAAGTTGCCCCAAGGCTTGAAAAGGATCAACACGTGCTGATCATAGTGTAGTTCAAAGTAGTAGATCTTTTCTTTGCCATTGTATGTACCTCTGTTATGCACAGTTCCACCCATTATTTGGTCACTCAACACCCCTGTAACTGTGGACAACAACACTATGTACACCATCAGTTGTACAGGTCAGGGATACCCAGAACCTACAGTCACACTAATGGTCGACAATGTGGTAGTGACTGGCACTTATACCAACAATTGTGCTGCTGGCGTTTGTATAAAGACACGAACAGCACCACTAGATGGTAGTACCTACACACCTGGCCAGTCCATCAATATCACCTGTACTGTGGATATCAACCAACCACCATTCACTTGTACTGCTGCTCAGAATCCAACTGTACAGGCACAGTGTAATGCTTCTGCCAAGTCCAGGTCACAAACAAGAATGTTAACTGTAGTTGGTAAGACTTAAATCAATGCTTTACAGCAGGTATGGAAACCATTAGTCTATGCGCTATATTCCATTTAAACATGTGGGACCGGCATTTCAAATTAAAGTGAGCAGAGGGACCGACAAACAGGTGTTTGTCGGAGTGTGCATTGACAAATAGTAATTCGTTGTCATTTTGTTAAAGCTTGGACAATCCACTTGTCCAGGAAAGTAGGCAGCAATGCCTGTTCATTCTGCGGGGGTAAAATAAAATATACCGGCCAAACAACTTCGAAGTAAGGATTCTGGAGTGCGTTTGCTTCTATATTGAGCAACGACATTAAAATTATGCTTCTGTGTCTCCAGCACAATGTCCATATCTTGATGATCTCGGCTTCAATTACCAACCTATTACCGGTTCCAGCAGGACGTTTGGCACCAACATATCCATACAATGCCGAACAGGTTACCTGTCCACCAACGCTCTCAGTACCACCAAAACTACATGCCAGAGCGGTGGAGTATGGAGTCCAAGTCCTCCAGGGTGTGAAAGTAAGCGTGCATATAGCAAAGCAGTCTGAAGTTAAAATATTCAACTACACGTATTGAAATTTATTTCAGAGAAGGAGATGATTATCGTTTGGAGTGAAAGAGATTGTCAGTGCAATTAGTTTGACTGCACAGAGGTGACCACGCGATTGTGTTTGGCGCACTGGCGTCTGGAGTGGTGACTGGTGTTCAAAGGTTGAACAGGCCCTTGACGTAATTGCGTAGGAATTTCGTTTACTTTTCTCGCGCGATTAGAGCCCTCTCTTGAATAGTGCCCTACCTCAAACAGTGACTAGTCTCTAAGAGCCAATTAAAAAGTAAAGCCCTCTCTTGAATAGTTCTCCCCCCCGGGCTTGTAAACAAGCGCATGTGCACGTTTGGAGTTGTTTTGCTAATAGTCTCGTCCATGCCGGTGCTCTTGTGGTTTTCGGATAAAAGTAACAGCTCTTATTGACGTTTCTGCTGAGTCGTGATAGTTTACAGTAAACTTTAGGCTCCGTAATCTACTCCTTTTTATGGTAGATGACGTAGATGTGCAAGCATTGAAAAATAGTGCCCTCTCTTGAATAGTGCCCCATCTTTGATGGGCTGTGAAATAATAGTGCACTAATCGCGCGAGTACGTAGTTGCAGTTACGTGGTAAAGGGAATATTCTTTTCTTTCATCCAGTAAACGAGGAGAACATTTTAATTGGACAGGTCTCGGGTGGTAGTAAAGATAGCCCAATGTGCTGCATTGCACGATTCAGAAAAAGTACACATTAAATAGTTGTCATTAAGGCCCTTGGAATTTGCCTACTTTTGGATGAAAATTGGTTATATTTGGAGAGAGTTGGCACTCCGAAGATACGTGTGGTTCTGTTCCGTAGCGATATCAAGACTGCCCAAGTGAGGTAATGTGCACGTTGGAGGTGTATTTTGTAAGTTTCTATTCGCACCAACGCTCGATTTCGGTTCCGAAATGCAGCTTTTGGCCAATTTGGTTGTTTTACCAACTGGCACGGTGTCCTTTTACAAGTGCGGACAGAACCCCTGGTTAGGTAATTGTATGCCCCAGTAGGATAACTAACTGCAAAATGTGAGAGATGTCAGAATGATGGCTTAACCCATGTGTTCTGTTTTTCCCAGACATGCTCTCTCTTCTCCATTTGAAATGAATTTCACATCTCTCGCTATGGAAAATTAGAGATTCGCAAGAAACTACCTGGCGAGAATGTCGGCAGGAAGGCTCCCTCACATCAAGGGAAATGCTCAGGAAAGATTGAATTCTTCCCTTCGGAAGGATGAAACTTCGGCATGTAAAAACTATCGCACCTTTTTTTCTCAATCGATATACCAAATGAATGCGTTCATACAAAGCATGGTGCTCGACTTACTACGAGCTCACTGTAAGGCTGAAGTCAGCAGCTATTTTAGTCCGCCTTGAAGGTAGGATTATTTGTATTGAACCTGATTCCACTGACGCACCGTAGCACATTGTTGATTTTTTTTATGACTTGTCGTAGTTCCCGTGTCTGAGGATGAGCATTGGCTGGAGCATACTAGTATTCCTTATGTGCACTGCAGAGGTCAAATGACTTTTAACAAAAACGGTGTTTTCATTAGTTTGAGGGAAGGTTGCAAACGACAAAAGTAAGAAAACCATACTTTTACCACCAGGACTATAACCAGTGACCCTCATAATAATTGCTTGCGGTGCTATGCTGATAAGCTATGGTGTAGTTGTCGTTAAAGCAACGACTGTCCAGCACCTTCTTGAGACTTCGAAAAACAAGAAAGATCAAAATTGGCTAAAATGGCAACCCAAAACGGAGTTCTGAAGGAAATTCTGTGAAGGTCCTGGCGCTCTGTCACAACTTAATATTTGTGTACAGTACTGTCGAGCGAACAGCAGATGATGATGATATCTTTCCAGAATGTCCAATACTAAACCTAAATCGAGGAAACACAATTATGGTTCGAAAACGTCAAGCTGAGGATCCCTGTCAGACGCAGTGACTTGCGCGTGGAAGTTATGGCATTAAATCTACCTGGAACGATATGAGTTTTATTCAAATATTCACAATGGTGGTCCATACGGTACAGTTAATTAGCACACTGCTTACTCCCATTCCGTTATAATTCCATTGCAGATTGCAGCATCAGGTGTGCCGGTGACAATATGGTTGTAGCCTGTAATCACATGATGGGAACACTCGCCGTAAACTGTGTTTGTCCGACTAACTACACATGGACAGGGAGCAAGTGTGCGCGTAAGTGCCTTGCTGTATTTAAAACAACGTAACATGAGTTTATACAAGTTACGCTACAATAGTCACTAACACCATCATTTACTAAACAATCAGCTCATCTGATAACATTCCACGACACTGACCGACGGTACTGACGTTCTCCAATTAACTAGCTATCAGCTCCAGCACAGCTTGGATGCGCACTACAACAGCCTTCCAACTTTGAAGTTTCTAAGTTATGTTGTCAGTTTGAGCACTATGGCAAGGTAAGATCGGGCCTGATTTAAATCTGGCTTTTGAAATTTTATTTTCATTGCTATCAGGTTCGGTCTCATTTCCTCTGTGCTGCGCTGGTGAGTTCACAAAGAACGAAACAGCATGCTGTCCGCAGATTGAGTAAGGTTCTAAGTTATATAAGTTATACCTTTCCCTCCTATGTTATATCATAAACACGCATGCACTCGCTATTACAGACCAGTGGAGAGCACACATCATAGGGAGGATTCATAGAGTGCTGGGCAACCGAATCTGGCATGTTGGATAGTCCACGCACGAGGTGCAGCCCATGAAATGGGCACCCATGAACTGGGTGGAGTTTGGACGGCCTGTATGATAGTATGTATGTATGTCCACGCACAAAGTGCAGCCCATGAAAAGGGCGCCCAGGAAATGGACAGAGTTAGGACGGCCCACGCACGAAGTACAATGCCCGTTAGGAGGCAGGAATGTGGAAGTATGAGTGTGATGGCCGAAGACCGTGATAATTGCCAGATGAGAGGAGATAGCTGGCCCAGCACTCCTATCTATTTCCATCTTTTATGAATTATGATACCTGTGTTGAATGAAGGATATCAATATTATTCATGGGTGGGTAGAGGTGGGTGGGTGAGAAAGCAACAAACCGGTGTTTTTCTCACGACCCAAGCAAAGCAAATATGAAGTAGCAATGTCGCCAGCGCGAAGTGTGTGCCTTACGGGTTCAAACTCCGATGTGTGCTGCAGCCGCATATGGCTGTTTGGCGGGCGAGTTGAGGTGCGTTCCGGCATACACATGTGACATGCAACCACAGCGTGCATGTACATGTTGCTTGACATGCATCAATGAAAGCGTGGGATCTAAGGGCTCTTTGGAAGCCACTGGAGCGCGTGTGAAGTGATGGCTTGGGACCAGTGGATTCTGCTCGAAAAAGTGCCAGATTCTGCTCGAAAAGCAGTGAAATTGGCAGAATCATACAAACCTTATGGCGGGCAATTCCTCGAATTCTGCTCCATTTCTTTATCCACATACCAAACATGCATGAAACTTACCAGAAAAAGTACCGAATTCTGCCAATTTTTCTGCCGGCAGAATCCGCCGGACCCTAGTGATGGCTTATGCAATGTGTTAACCTACATTAACGCAGGCTCTAACGTGCTAAAATTATTATTATTATACCTTCGGTCAGAGTCTCGCAATATTATCGCATGGACTGAGTGTTTTGTAACTGATGATGCTGGTGGACATCACAACGAAATATGTAGTTCTTTGGTCCTATTCTGTTCTATAAATTTATCCTTGGCTTTCCATCTCAGTCCTCTCTAACAGAGGTTTGCTGTGAAATGTGCCATAATTAATTCTGTGTTGTTCAGAGAAAGGTGATGAGCGCTGACTTCACTGTCATTTTTAAATTATATATATGGGGCTTACTACGTGATCGACGTTTTCTATGCTGTGTGACATTTGGTGAACGAAAGTCAACAGTTGCATTAAAATGAATGGCAACACATACTTTGAAGTCATATGTTGACATAAGTACGAAGATGATTTACCTAATTTCCCATCGCCTATATGATAATAAAATACCTGCAATTTGTGTGACGTGTTGGACTAAGTACGCAGCTATAAGCGTTCAGGTTCATGTCGAACTCATGGAAAATTAATTTTTCCAGGATGGGAGAGCAAAAGACCTCCGAGTTGGGCAACCATGTCCAGAAAGCAGAGCAGCATCCGTCTTCTGAACTTGGGCACTTTCCATTACTTAAGGGTCATTCGGTGATGCCTGGGTCTGCTTTCTTTGATATTTATCTGTCCCCAGTGACTTGCCCAGAAGAAACAACAATGACATTGATAACGAAAAAAATTCCCCTGTTATTTTGCACAGAACCATTAAACATTAGTAGCATATGTGAGCATAATGCGGCATAATATGATAACTTTTAGCATAAAAATATTATAATTCTGCAATTTTTTCAGCAATGCGAAAAGCATAATTTTACGAAAATATTAGCATAATCTATCAAGGCCTACTGCCTTAGCTAGGTACCATTCACATACTCTAAGGGAGTATGCGTTGCCAGAATTCTGAACCGTTTTCTACTGCAAATACATATCAAATTTGCTAGAATAAAAGTCGCATACGTTTTTGTCTTCGTATTACATTGCTTTGGATGTGCATGGGCTCAGAGCGTCAAGAAAACCCTTCCTCTTAATTTGCCTTTTTCACGAACGTGATTGGGGTAAGACGTCCTTCGGCTTCAACACAAAGACAAATGATGGGCACATAATTATGCTGTTGTCCTGGGCACTGCAAAAAAAACAACTCAATATAACTTTTTCGACGTTTAGCCAATACGTTTACGCCATGGACTAGAGCTAACGACAGAATGCCACACAACCGAAATCACCGAATGACTAACAAGCATACGACAGAAGGATTTCCATTTATCCAGTATAATTTCCTGTGGATATACACCTCAGAATTTACTGTTTTGTTGAAGGTTTGTAAATCCATGGCTACTGCGTTGTTCATGTTGTATTTTGCATCTAGTATCGCCTTGTGAGTCGATAAGCGAAGTTTCAATCACCGACATCCCTAAAACACCAGTTGGAAGTTCAGCCTTTACCCAATGTCGCGACGGCTATAGTGGTATCACAGGATCAAACATTGTACAGTGTATGTCTGGAGGTATCTGGAGTATACTACCAACTTGTGCTGGTAAGTATATTTCAGTCACAATTCACGTGCCAATGGTTAAACAACGGACAAAGGGTTCAGACCGTGTATGATCGGGGATTTGTAGGTGTTATGCAGTAGTGTAGAGCTTGGCAAACTCCTGGCTCCTAAATTGCTTGCATCAAGAATGTCATTGTGCTATGTGACCGAATCAAGCGACAATGATACTCATGAGATTGCCACTAGAGACCATGCTTTCAGTTGTAATTTACTGATTTTGTATATGCCACACAGAGACTGATGGATCTTTTACAAAATGCAGCTTCAAAATAGTTTCATAGTAGTGTGTGTGTGTGTGTGTGTGTGTGTGGGTGGGTGCGTGTGTGTGTGTGTGTGTGTGTGGGTGTGTTGCCTATTCGCTACGACTTGGTCTGGAGCGGAGGCAGCATTGTGCTGTCTTCACGAGGTGGCGTCGGGATTTGACTCAACCGTCAGTGCAACGAAGACCCAGTTTGTAGTTGTTGGCCCCAACATCAAGCCTACTGACCGCGCTCCCCTCCAACTTGGTCAAGCGGAGGTGGAATGCGTACTGCAATTCAAGTACCTCGGTTCTGTAGTGGACAACGGTTGCAGTTTGTCTCGGGACATCGTCGCAAGGATTGCCCAAACCTCCAGGTCCTGCGGTGCTCTTAGGAAGTCTGTATTCTCCAATCCACATCTGGTGACGCACACCAAGCGGTGCGTATTGAATGCTTGCGTTCTGTCCATGCTGTTGTATGGCTCTGAGTGCTGGATGCCCCTTCAACATGACCTGCAAAATCTCTCAACCTTTAGCATAAGGTGCATCCGAGCCATCCTTTCGAAGCCGGATATGGGACGAACACATCACCAACGAAGAGCTGTTGGTGCGCTGGGAAGACTCTGAGAGGATTAAAGGCAAGATTGTACATCCGCGGTTCGAGTGGTTGAGGCATGTGGCGTGGATGCCGGACAACCGCATTCCGAAACAGGTGCTGTTTGGCTCCTTCTTGCAGCGTCGCCCGGCACATGGCCCACGCCGCAGGCGGAAGGACAGTGCTGTCCGAGATCTACGTGCCCGTGGCTTGTAGGCATCATGGTATGATGTTGCATGTGAGTCTCGCGCGGAGTGGCGCAGCACCTACCAAGAGCCTGACAATGCGCCTGAGCCTCCGCCCCGAGTGGTATGTACGGTATGCGAACGGGATTTTGCACGGGAACACGTGCACCTGTGCATATGCAGCAAGCGGATGTGACTACCCGCGCAGCTGGAGCGTCATCGGGCGTCGTGCCCTCTCTCTCTTTCCCTTCTAAAGTTTCCAAGTGATGGGATCACGTGACCATTCTGCGACAGTGACTCCACAGGACAGGACAGATGTGTGTGTGTGTGTGTGTGTGTGTCAGTGCAACGCAGACTCAGTTTGTAGTTGTTGGCCCCAACATCACGCTTACTGACCGCGCTCCCCTCCAACTTGCTTGAGCATTGCTCGATAGCGCTAACCATTGGCATTCCTACTTGGAAGGTTCAAGGATATTACTATTATTTGTGCTCATTCCAGCTTGACACTATTCATGTTATTGCAATTAGTAAGTCCATCATTGTCATCAAATAAGTACAGTACTGTAGGATACTGGCGTTCGGCTTGTTACAAATCGTCCTCGCGAAGCTTTCCCTTCACATTTTCATCTGTTGTTGTTGTTGTTGTTGTTGTTGGTGTTGATTTTTATTTTACTTTGCAAGGCCAAACGGGCAATGGCGCCCGATTCTATGGAAGGGGATTTCAAAGGGGGAGAGAGCTACGGGGAGAGAGAGAGCGAGGAAGACAGAAAGGAAGAGAGAGATGGAGATAGAGGTGGAGTTAGAGAGACAGAGAGGCAGGGAGAGAGAAAACGGGGAGAGAGGTAGCGAGACACAGAGACGGAAGCAGTGAGGTTAGTGCATCGGAGCGTGGTGGGCGCATAAACGTGTGGTCGGGGGTAGCAGCGATGAACATATTGCTATGTAATTTTGTCTGATAACCGATTTTTGCATCGTCAACAAAGGGAACACAAAGAGTTTACAGGTGCACAAGCACGCAGAGAAGATCTCTGATAATAGTTAACCTCCCAAGTTGGATAGCTGTTGCTTTGCGTTATCGAGACGTGGTTTGACAATTATGTCTGGTCTTGCCGTCCCGTCATCATCCGGGCCAGCATTAAATGAATCCTTGGAATGTGGCTTGTGCTTGGCTCGATGGCGCTCGCTTTCCCCTGTTTGGAATTAGCATTAATATCCGTGAACCTTCCAAGTTTTAAGGCTGTTGGTTGCCGTGCTCAGGCTGACTTGCAGAGGTATGAGAAACGAGCAGTAATAATAGAAATTTCCTGCTTGAGTGGGGGTGGATGTTTCCAGTCATGTAGACATGCAGGCAGGCAGAGTGTGATAGGATTTCGTGGGCAAAAGGAACCTGGACGCCGCAGAAAATTCGTCGTTCATTGGCTGCTATATGTCTGTATCTACAGTGAGGTGACGCATGGAGGCCATTCGCGTAATTGTAATAGTTTTACCTTGACACTTCTTGCTTGTCTTATGGTAACACCTTGTGTTCCTACTATTCTCACTCCAATCAATCAAGTCTATACCGTTACACTGGTAGCTTGAGGATGGTTGAGATCATCGTTTGCCCTTTGACGTGCCTTGTGCTCCTGGCCGCTACTGCTCTGCTATACGCCGCTTTCCGTGAGATCCACCGTGCTCGGGACAACGTACCTGCTACAGTTGGACGACATCAATTTCCTGCTACATCAAGCTCAAGTCCTACGGATCTAGCCCCGTGTCGATCGCGTTCTCTCTCCCAGACAAGCCCGAGCGTCAAACGCGTTACCAGAGAACCGAATGTTTTCCATGGCAACCCTTCCGAGTTCAAAGAGTGGGTATTTACAGTCGAGTTAGCCTTGAAGTGCTCACCTCAAGGTGACCCGGAGAGCCAAGTTAGCTTTGCGGCTAGCTACCTCGCTGGGAATGTGCGTCTTTGGCTAATTTCTTCCATGGAAGCAGGTGAGCAATTTTCGGATTGGCATTCTTTGAAAAGCGCCCTAGCGCGAGTGTATGGCCCTCACTATGACGGGGAAAGAGTGCGGTTGGATATGTTCTCTATCCAACAACGTGGGTCAATTGAATCGTACGTAACGGAGTTTTCTCGGCTAAGTTTACAGGTGCCGGAACTTGACGAACTCTCCAGAGCCTTGCTATTTGTCAACGGCCTGCACGGTAACATGCGGACCTTGGTAGTGAAGGAACACCCGACTACACTGTCATCCGCCGTTCAGGCAGCGCTAGCAGTCGCCTCACACAGCCGATTTCAGCGCAGACCACCACTGGCGACCGCGCCGGGATTCGCACCACCATCAGGTAGCAGAAAGCTAACAAAACTAAGCCCCGAGGAACGTGAGACATTACGAGCCCAGGGGGGCTGCTTCGCATGTCGTCGACCAGGCCATATGGCCCAGAATTGCCCGCAGCATCGAGATCACCCAAACGGTGGACGTCAGTAAGGCCGATGCGATTACTGACGCATCAAGAAAAGGCATCACCTGCGTGTAGTGTGTGCTCCGTCTCTTCCCGTTACCGATTCAGTAGCCTCGCTGTGGAGGATGTTGACGATGATGCTGATTGCTCCGAAGCCAATTTCAAGCGAGATGTTCCACCAACTATTGAGGCCCAGGTTACCAGCGTCAATGTGGAAACGGAACATGAGCTCCTGCATGTAGAAGGCAAAATCAACGGTCGTCGCGCGCTTATGTTAATAGATTCGGGCTCGACCCATGGTTTCATTGCCGAACAGTTTGCCAAGAGAGTTAACCTGCCAACCAAAATTGGCTGGGAAAACCTGAATGTCACGCTGGCTGATGGAGCATCAAGCTCGTTTCCCATGGAGACGACCCATGAATTGAAGGTTATCGTAGGCGACTTCAGCGATAACCAAACCTTCACGGTGTTCCCCCTTCATCGCTATGACGCTATATTGGGGAAACCTTGGTTAGCGCGTAACAATCCAGACATAAACTTCCGGACGAATGAAGTCAGGTTGAACTCGAATTGTTTGCCTTGTGCGTCGCCCAGTCAAAGCGAACCGACCGCTCCTGTGAAGGCGATGTTCATATCTGGTCGTCAGGCTAGGCATGCTCTTAGGAGTGGAGACGAATGTGCTCTGGCATGGGTCAGCGTAGAAGACGGCATTGGCAAGGAACCTCCCGACAAATCCACTCAGAACGAGCACCCAGATCTCTAAGCCATGTTCCGTGACTATGACGATCTTTTCTCGGATGATCTGCCAGCTAGACTCCCACCAAAGAGGTCTGTAGACCACGAAATCCGCCTGGAGGAAGGCTCATCACCCCCATCGCGACCTGCCTATCGCCTGCCCAGGCCAGAGATGGAAGAATTGAAGAAACAGCTCACAGAACTCTTGAAGAAGGGTTTCGTAGAACCAAGTAAGTCCCCCTTTGGTGCACCGGTGTTTTTTGTCAAGAAAGCTGATGGTTCGTTACGCACATCTGTGATTGGAGGGAGCTAAACAAGATAACTGTTAAGAACAAGGCAATGCCCAATGTGGATGATTTATTCGATACCGTACAGGGCGCTAGGTACTTCACGAAACTAGACCTCTGATCAGGGTATAATCAGATTCGCATTCAAGCTGAGGACGTGCCCAAAACCGCGATTAACACTCCCTTTGGGCATTACCAATTTAGGGTCATGGGATTTGGTCTCACCAATGCACCGGCAACATTTCAATCCATGATGAATACGATTCTTCAACCATATCTGAGAGAGTTCGTAGTCGTGTTCCTAGATGACATACTCATCTTCAGCAAAACGTGGTCGGAGCATATGCAGCATGTCCGGTCGGTATTGAGCGTGCTCCGGGACAACCAGTTATTCTGCAAACGGTCAATATGTGAATTTGGCGTGGAGAGTGTGCGGTTCCTGGGACATTGCATCGATGGACTGCACATCGCCCCTGACCCAGACACGATTGCCGCAGTAAAGGTCTGGCCCGCTTCGACTTCCGTCACAGAGGTGAGGCAATTTCTTAGATTTACGAATTATTTTAGGCGATTCATAGATCAATACTCATCGCTCTCTAAGAACTTAGAGGAGATAACGGGAAAACATGCACGATTCAAGTGGAACAGCTCTCGGCAACATGCCTTTGAATCGCTAAAGCATGCCTTGTTGAATGCGCCCCTATTGCGGCTGGCTGATGTGAACCGACCATTCAGAGTGGTAACAGATGCAAGCGATTTCGCCTTGGGATGTGTTCTTCTCCAAGAACTAGAGAAAAATGCCTGGCATCCAGTGGCTTATGCTAGCCGAAAATTGTCTGCTGCTGACCAGAATTATACAGCTACAGAAAGAGAAACATTGGCCGTAGTGTTTGCGTTAAAGACCTGGCGCATCTACCTCTTTCAACACTTTGAGGTCATTACAGACAACATGGCGGTAGTTTATATGAAAACAAAACCAAGCATTAGAAAGAGAGAGGCGCGATGGGTTGAATTCCTAGCTGACTATGACTACACAGTCCGTCACAGACCCGGCAGAGAGAACCCTGCAGATCCCCTTTCGCGTCGCCCAGATCTCCATGAGAGTAACCTCGTGGAGAATGCAGTACCACGTTTGAATGCTATTGAGTATGCTTTAGCAATGAATGATGACGTGTCCAATACAATATCAGATGCCTACCAGAGAGACAAAGAGCTAACTCCCATCATAGAAAGATTGAAGCATTCTCTCCGAGATAATTTGTATGATCGCTATAATTGGGACGAATCCACTGATCGCTTGTACCTCAAGGCATCTCCCAATAACCGGTTGTGCATACCACAGTGCGGTGTCCGGTTAAAGCTCATTCAAGAACACCATGAGTGTGCAACGGCTGGCCACCCGGGTCGTGATCGAACGTACTTTCGCCTAGCACGTTTTTTCTACTGGCCGCGAATGGGTCTCGATATCAAGAGATTTGTCAAAACCTGTGATCTCTGCCAGCGAACGAAGGGAGGTCAGCCACGAACAGGGCTTCTCCAGTCATTTCCAATACCTAATAGTCCTTGGCAGGATATCTCAATGGATTTTATTGTTGGATTGCCCCTTACTTCTCGTGGCTTCGACGCAATTTACACCTTTGTGTACCGACTTACGAAGTGCGTACATCTTGTTCCAACAAACTCGAAGATTGATGCTAAGGGCAGCGCTCAACTGTACATTCAAAACGTGTTTCGTCTGCAAGGGCTGAGCTCGACCATTGTTTCCGATCGCGATCCACGATTCACTGCAGCTTTTTTCAAAGAAGTTTTCTCTCAGCTAGGAACTAAATTGGCATTCAGCACTGCTAACCACCCTCAAACGGATGGTTTGACAGAGAGAGTTAACCGGCAAGTGGGAGATGTTCTAAGAGCATTTGTGAACTTTGACCCTAAGTCCCCGCCCGAATTCATTCTTACGGGAGGGGAAAGGAGTGATTCGGTCGATTGGCATCATGAGCAGAAAGCCGCACTAAGGATAGCTCGAGATGCAATGCTCGACGCCCAGGCAAGGCAAACTATACGCAGACCAGACGAGAACGCCCAGTGATTTGAAGGTTGGTGATAGCGTTCTTGTCTACAGAGACTTTCTACTGACCCCGGAAGCTCGTGGCCAGCCCTCTCGGAAGTTGCAACCCAAGTGGTTTGTTCCGTATCGTATCCAAGCTAAGATTGGAGCGAATGCTTTTCGCTTGGAACTACCCCGTGAACTTCGCTGCCATCTCGTGTTTAATGTCACTGCTCATAAACTCTACGAAGAGAACACGATTCCTGGAAGACACCAACCCCCGCCTCCGACATTCACAGATCTAGATGGACACACACGCTATGTTGTCGAAGCCGTTTTGAATCACCGACACCGCAGTGGTGAGCAACACTTCCTGGTGCATTGGAAGGGTTACCCCGCAGCGAAGCTACGTGGGAGCCCGCCGGCAACCTATGTGATGAGTCTGGTCGGAGTATTAAACCGCTGCAGAATCTATCTAGCCTCACAACGACAGCAGCCTTGATCTAACTGGGCTGAGCCATATGCATCTCTTACTGAGATAGTTAATAATATGTTATAGACTGATATAGTTTTGCGTCATCTCCGTGTGAGAGTGATGGAGTTGAGTTGGATTACACTTCAATGTGGTTATGCATGTGCATGAGTGATTATTTAATATTCCCCTTTCCACAATTGCATCTCCTAACTGGATTGTGTTATCTAATAGAACCTTGGGCTTCCTATGGGCCCGGGAGAGTGTAATAGTTTTACCTTGACACTTCTTGCTTGTCTTATGGTAACACCTTGTGCTCCTACTATTCTCACTCCTGCGGTTATCGCCTTTCTTTTGCTTTATAACCTCTGGTTTGAACATCATTCGACGAATTCTCCAATCAATCAAGTCTATACCGTTACAGTATTAGCCCTTTCTCAAAGATGCCAAAATAGTTCGCTTTTTAAGCTGTTCGCAACCATTTCAAAACAAGTGAAAGTAGCTGAAATCGCGTCCATATTTTTCAGAAAAATGGCCCAATAGTTGCTTATATCTAAACTCCAAATGGGTGAGTTATTATGCATAATGGTGCTAAAAATAACCAATAAAGGAGCAGAAATGGAAAAAACCCGCACAGCACAATTGCCTGAGTAAAGCCAATCGTACTTTGAAGTAGATATGAATGCAAATGTTCTCAGCGTGATACATGCGTAGGGAAATGAACAGACTTGGAATGAGTCATTGTCCTTTTTGTTGAACCTTTGCACAGCATTCATGACATAGCGACATGCTCAGTGCTGCCAATAGAGAAGTACACTTGTCATGATGATTTTATGCAATGTTTCAGCGCTTCTTGTTGAAGCGGAGCATCACGGACACTTCAATGGTCTCCTCCAATGCGTTTCTCTGCAAACAGTTGCGGAAAAGTGGCGAAATAGTATGTATAAAATTATAGAAAGTTGCGAAAGTTGCGATTTCCTCCAAAACAACAAAAAAGGTGCGAAAAAGTGGCGAGCATCTTTGGGAAGGGGTTATCGGGTAAGCAGTGTGCTATAACATAAAACGACTCGTGCAATACAAGATGTTCAGGAATATCTCTCGGTGAGGTATTGGTTTCTAAAGGTTTCGTGGCTACTCCTATAATGTGTTGTTACAGACATCAATGAGTGCGAACTGGAAGAGAAAGCTTGTGTGGGCAACTGTATCAACTTCACACCCGGTTTTACCTGCACGTGTCTAAATGGTACCTTTGGTTGCTTTGGTAAGTACAGAAAGGGATTGTTCAATATCATTAATTTTACCAGACTTAAGGCTTGGCGTATAGCGCACTTGATGAGGAAGCAATGATGAAGTGGGTTGTGATAAAATGAACCTCTTTTAGTTTTTATCAGTTGATCACTTGATAAGAGATAAGTTTACGTGCAGCGCAAATTGCAACGCCGAGTTTATAAGCAATAAAAAACACCCCACCGTTATATAGGCTTTCTGTAGGTTCGTTGCAAAAATGAAAGTAGTTGTTCTTATCGCCTTTGCTCCGTATCAATATACCTGTCACTAACATAGTACTCTTCTCAATAAGAGTACGGAAAAAGTTTTTTAACTCTGAGTTTCACGCACTAAGCAATCATTTAGAAAGCAATAATAAGTAAATCTGGATCAATACTGTTTTATACACCCACAAAGCAAAGTGTAAATGGCTGCCTCATGGCGCTAGTTTAAAAGATGTGAATAACGGCAGTGCAAAGCGTAAATGACTGCATCATGGCGCACATCGAAAAGTGCAAATAACAGCAGTGGTGAAAGGTGACAACCACTGGAGCTGGTTGTCTCCTACTTGATTATGTGATGGCTGTGGATGGTTTGAAGATTCGAAGGTAGTACTTATTCTCGTGGCGACACTATGACACACGTTCTTCCTCTTGTTGAGAGAGGGGCTAGGGGGCTTGCGCGATTGCTAGTTTTTCCGGCAGGCACAGGTTACACCTTTTCAGTTTTGCTTTTGTTGCTGTAGGCCACTGCTCTGCGGTGTAACGCCCATTGAATGCTTCACGCCTCCCCTTCATTCTTCTTTTTTGTAATTTTTACTGTTTAAATTCCTCAAAGGCTTTCGCCTATATAGGGGGTTTCCAAACTTTCCATAATACCAGATCTGTAAAAGAAGTAATGGTAAGCAAAGAAAGAGAAGAAGACATAGTCTAGGGCAGAGCTCTGCGCTTGAGCATATTATTGTAAGCTTGCAGAACTGGGATAATGCATGTTAATGATTAAAAATGTGCCAGAGATAAGCTTCTAAAGAATATGATGTGACGCTACATTTTCAACGGATTTCCACTGCAGTGAAACCAATGCTCGTAAAACTGTTTGTGCAGTTCTTGCTTAAATTCACTTAAACTGGTTAAGGAGGTATTCTTAGGGGGCAGACAATTCCAGAGGGTGCTGTATTTATGGAAAAAAGAGATTTGAACAGCGCTGTCCATGGTTTTTCAATATCAGTGTTATGAACCCTCTAAGATTCTCTAAATTGTCAGGATCGTACGACCACACGGCACGAGGACAACTCTTTTCCTTTACACAGTATATTTCACTTCATCGAATAATTAACAATGAACACGAATAACACCAGCTATTTATAGCATGCAAAAACAGCGTACATGCAAAACATAAGCATATAAAACTGGACATAACAGCGTATACAGCAAAACACACACACAGCGCATATAGCGTATGCCATGCAGCAACATCAGCGGTACGGCGGAGTCGAAAGACAACATTGCGACGAATACAACGCCATAAGCGCGAAGGCCATTCCCAATTGAGAACTGGTGGTTTGCAACATTCTCCCCACCAAAGGGCTTCTCACCGCCATACAACAATGCACACAAGTCAAAAACGATCCGGGGCTCTGACTACGCGCCCAGAACGCGTCATCTCCTGCTGCTGTGGTGGTGGTAACGGTGCTGACGGTTCATACGCTGGCTGCTGAGGGACGATAGCAGGTTGAGCGGTATCGGCAAGCCCAGGAGCCACGTCCTGTGACGATACTTCTAATGGCACTAACCTTTGGATCGGCCTCAACAGGGTACTGGTACTCAACTTAACCTTGGCAACACGACGCTTACCATCTCGACCAGGGAATAACTCGATGATCCGTCCCAAACGCCAGAACTGTTTGCGTTTGGTATCATCGAGAACAAAGACAACATCACCCATAGCTAAAGGGCGCGACATGGTCTGTTGGTGTTTGTTCAGCTGACTTAGGTACTCCACCTCCCAACGATTCTTGACATGCTCCAGTGTCCGACTGAGGTAACGCAATCTCGATGACATCTGCACAGCGTCCAGGGTACCTGCTGGCTTCTCTGACGACATCCAGATGTCACCCATCATCATTGCAGGGGTTACTGGCGGCTCATCCAGGCTATCAGACACATAAGTTAGCGGACGACTATTCACCACTGCTTCAACCTCATACAAGAGGGTCTCAAGCTCCTGGACCTTCAGAAACGCTGTTCCCATTACCTTTTTCAAGGCACTCTTCATTGTACCAACCATTCTCTCATAGAAGCCTCCATGCCATGGTGCAGCTGGAGGATTGAACATCCATGGCACACTCAGTTTGTCAGATGCCGCCTTGAACGTTGTAGCGTTGTCAGACCTGATCCGAGACGGCAAACTACGTCTCGCGACAAACTTCCGAAATGCTATCAAGAATGACTCAGTACTTAAACTATCGACCACCTCCAAGTGAACTGCTCTGGTGGTGGCACACACAAACAATGCCATCCATACCTTCGGAGATGACTCACCACGGCGCACGTACAACGGACCAGCATAGTCGATGCCGGTAGTTGCGAACGGCCTCTCGTGAACAACTCGGTCTTCCGGCAGCGGCGGGCAGACTTCTGAGGCAGCCTTAGCCTTGTAGCGGCGGCATGTAACACATCGCTGAGTAATGTTGCGTAGCGCCCGTCGACCACCGATAATCCAAACTTTCTGACGGATGAACGACAAGACTCCTTCTACACCTTGGTGCATCCTTTCAACATGCATTTTCTCCAACAGCAACTCGGTCAGATGATGTTTGCCTAACAGGACTGAGTGCTTGGCTCCATACGCCAACTCGCTGTGCTGAAGTCGTCCCCCGGCTCTGAGCACTCCATGCTCATCCAGAAACGGTGCAAGCTGATACACCTTCGACCCAGGCTTCACTGGTTGACCTTGCTTGATCAGCTCAAGATCCTCAGCGAAACATGCGGCTTGAACGATGCGGTACAATACGTTGTCTGCTGCAAAATAGAGTTCAGCACGAGGCTCAGTGTGCTTCCACTGCAACATCCGAGTCACCATGCCCTGTGCCCTCGACCATTTACTGAATCGGAGCCACCATTCCTTATCAGATTCTCGACTACAGGTGGTGGCTGACACTCGTACTTCTACACTGGACTCATCTGTAGCTGCGGTTGAGGATGCGGTGGGCCAGTCATTGGGCTCCGTGATCCAGGTTGGTCCGCCCCTCCAGAACGGACTACGGATCTGCTGTGCACTACTCCCACGCGACGGTAAATCTGCTGGGTTGTGAAGGCCCGGGCAATGGTTCCACACAATGCCGACCTTCTTCGATATCTCTTGGACTTGACTGACGCGGTTAGCCACAAATGTTTTCCATTTGTACGATGGATTACTGATCCAATGAACGGTAGTGAGACTGTCAGTCCAGCCATAGACTTGCGTGACGGTCACACGCAGCTCCTTCACCACAAACTCAGCGTAGCGAGCCGCTAGACATACTGCTTGTAACTCAAGGCGGGCTAACGTGGGCGGAGACACAGGTGCCACTTTGGCCTTGGCAAATACCAAGTGCGACTGTCCATTGACGACTGCATACAAAGAACATCCAAACGCTTTCTTACTGGCATCGGCGAAGGCATGAAGCGCAATCGGCGTGTCAAGATTGCAGCAAATCCAACGTGGTATGTCAATGCTCACCACTTCGGCCAACTCTCCCCACCATTGCGCACATGCGGCTGCGATGCCATCAGGCAACATATCATCCCAGTCGCCTCCGACTTTCCAGGCTTGCTGTAGCAGTATCTTTCCCGGCACAACTGCCGGTGCTGCTAGACCTAGCGGATCAAACACTGATGCAACACACTTGAGGAGGGATCGCCGGGTCCAAACAGACGGCCTATCGGACTCGCCTAGCGCTGCTATGCTGAGCAAGTCATCACTGGTTTTCCATTTCAGACCGAGGACTTTATCTCCGGCCTCTGGATCGCACGGGATTTCGTTGCCTCGCCACTTGCGTAACTCCATGCCAGCATCCGTAAGCACACGCACGCTGAACTCTTGCATCTCCTTGGCTTCCGAGGCATTTGAGACACTAGAGACCAAATCGTCAACGTAGAAACTCGTGAGCAAGAGATCAATACGATCTCGCTCTTTGGGTGCAGACAACGCCCGTAGCTCCTTCAAGTGATGCTGAATCACCGCAGTAAGCATGTACGGCGAGCAGTTTACGCCAAATGGCAGTTCCGTTAGCCTCCAGGTTAACAGTTCATCGCTGTCGCTTCGACCGGGCCACAAGAAACGCAGGTACGGACGGTCTTCGGGATTAACCGCGACCATGAAGAAAGCCTTGCGGATGTCCGCTTGCAGCGCGCTCTTATATTCACGGAACCGTAATAGCATACCTGCGAGACTCGGCAATAGCGACGGTCCAGGGTCAACCATGTCGTTCAACGACTTGCCATCTGGCGCCGTCGCCGAGGCATTGAACACCACTCTTAATTTCGTGGTTGCAGCGTGCTCGCGGAATACACCATGATGCGGTACATAGTACCCGGCATCGCTCTCACATGGCTCCAGCTCAATTGCTCCAAGCTCGCGGTACTCCCTGATCAGCACATCATCATAGAGCGCACGCTTCCCATTCCTCTTCAGCTTTTCAAGAAGCCGCGTTGCGATGACTCTAACTTGAGCAAAGTTATCCGTTGGGCGACGCTCATTTCGCCACAAGAGACCCACTTGGTACCCGCTGCCCTGGCGACATAGCAGGAACGATGGCAGGTGCTGATGTTGTTCTGGAGGTTCATCCAACTGCCATAGTTGTTCAATGTGGGCTGTGACACATGACACGGTCACCGGCTGACTGTTTCGACTTGGTGCAGACGCTGGACCAGATAATACATTACCTATCTCTGTGTTCCACACCGTCTCACCATTAACTTCCTTCTTGCTGTGCAGTACCGCGTTGATATAGTCTGCACCAATCAGCATATGTATTTCGTCTGATGTCCCTTGTTGAGGCTTGTCACTCAGCTCGACTCCCCAACTGTGCCACTGCGCAATGGTCTGCGGACTTGCGCACTTCAGGTCCAGCTCAAGCGTTGGTTTCACGAACGCGTACCCGAATGCTAGCGGAGCTACCCTGGATCGTGATGGCGTACTTATCCATGCGCTGTTGGGTTGGTTCCGCGCCGAACGGCTTCACCTCTACATTTTCAACCCCAACGTGTTCTGCATCGATTGCTGACACCAACGTCGCAGTCACGAATGACGCCTCAGCACCCGAGTCCAGGAACACGCGAACCTTCGCGTTTCGAGTTCTTCCCTCAACTCGTGCCACTCCGGTCATCAGCCGCACACTTGGCGAGTGTAGACAGCACGACCCAACATTCTTCTCCGTAACTATCTCAGTCGGTTTCTCCCGGCTGTAACCTGCTCTATCCAACACATCATGTATTAGCAGGTGGTGTTTCCTCTGGCATTTCGTGCATCTCGAGCCTGACCGACATTCTCTGGCCATATGGCCATACTTAAGGCAGTTCCAGCAGAGTCTCTCTCGCTGCAGAAAACCCTTTCTCTCTTCCTGTGGCAGCGACTTTAGCTGCTTCTCTGCATCTGCGACCGATATCGCCATGCACTGTGCCGACGCCGTGGGCCTTGGCACGGATCGTTCTACTGGCTTCCTGGCAGTATCACCCTGTCGTCCGTGCGCGACCTGGTAAGACGCGCCGTGCTCCTGTACCTGGCGCAGTGACATCCCGTAGCACTGCCGTTCGACCAGGTACAGCTTCATCTCAGGTCCGCATTGCTCCAAGATTACCTGCTTTGCCATTGCTTGCAGCACCGGGGCCATTTTACCTATATCGGCGCTATACTTGGTGCCCACCTCGCCATCTTCTGTCATAGCGAGTGTGGCCCACACCTCTACCTCTCGGCAAACACGGACAACGTATTGATGAAACGACTCATCTGACCGCTGCTTGCCTGTCAGCAATGTCTTCCACGCTTTATCCGGAGTCTTTCCGAGCGAGGCAAGCAACTCTCGCTTTGCTTCCTCGTAATTGTTGCATCCAATACATATCCTCTCCGCTTTGCTAACCGCTAGCGCGATGCGCAGTCGCAGCAGCCATTCGCTTTCTTCGAACTCGTTCTTGGAACAGATGTCCTCGAACAGGTCAAGATAACGCTCCAATGGCTGCGTTCCATCATATGAGGGGATTTTCATCAACGGTTGACGCCCCCCGCTGTGACTGGGAGATTCCCCTGTACCTCCCATCGCGGCTTTACCCTCACCCTCATGCGCATTGGCGATGCGCTCGTTAATCTCGTTTAGTGTTTTGGCAAACTCGGTGCGGAGCGCCTCCTCTCGCCGTCTGGCACTGCGCTCCTCACGCTCCGCGTACTGTTGGAGCCTCTGCTCCACATGTACCTTCAACAACTCGCCTTCTAATCCTAACCGCTCTCCATTGTCGATAAAGCTGGCTTCCAAATTGTTCCATAGTTCCTCTGCCATGCTCGCTCCGATCCTGGCGTGGTCGCCAAATGTTATGAACCCTCTAAGATTCTCTAAATTGTCAGGATTGTACGACCACACGGCACGAGGACAACTCTTTTCCTTTACACAGTATATTTCACTTCATCGAATAATTAACAATGAACACTAATAACACCAGCTATTTATAGCATGCAAAAACAGCGAACATGCAAAACATAAGCATATAAAACTGGACATAACAGCGTATACAGCAAAAACACACACAGCGCATATAGCGTATGCCATGCAGCAACATCAGCGGTACGGCGGAGTCGAAAGACAACATTGCGACGAATACAACGCCATAAGCGCGAAGGCCTTTCCCAATTGAGAACTGGTGGTTTGCAACAATCAGCTTATTGGGACGTCGTGCACTGGTTGTGATATGTATACCAAAATTAGTTAACTTTGCCCAGACGTACAGCGATAGGTGGGGTCCTTCTCGTTTTGTCTGAGGCGGAATGATGATTGGTGGTTATAGTAGCTTTTTTTTAGAGTTGTCGCTGTTAATCCAGTATACTCCTTCTTCTCCGTACCTGTGGTGAATCTTGCCTTATACACAATGCTATGCGTTAGACTATTCGGTAGACACGCTGCGTCCAGTGCACATAAGTCTTTCGTCTGATAGTTACAAGTTCCTTCGGACTACATTGATCCAATTGATTCATTGCGAAACTGATGAAGGCAATTTGCTCTTACTTTGGAATAATTATTATGAAATGAGTTGAACTAATGCAGTTTTAATGGAAGAGAGCGTGCGCGCTCTACTTTTAACTGATTCTTTCAGAGTGCTGCATATCGTGGCTAGAAGACTGAGGCAACAAGAAGGTTCAGCTTTTGAAGTAATGCGAATGGGTTGTCTATTGGGTTGCCTCAGACTCACCTTCTTGTCGACTTCAATCTTGCTTTTCCCACTTTGCCTCAGTTCTTTCAAACTTTCGTTTGAACGGGGTCTGGCGGGGGATCTGGCAAGGAGAACTCCATGATTCGAGTGTTAAAACTGGTTTTTACATTTTATCAGCTCTGACCCTCGGCTGTATCTCATACTTAAAATGCCCACTATGACTGCTTGTCGCACGCATCGTATTGCATCCTCCACTCCACCAAGTGTGCAGTAGAGTCAGGTACACGCAGGCGCTACGGAGAGTGTACCTTCTGCTCCTGCCATTGCCTGCAGCTTTGGCTACAGACGCTCAGCTCTCCGTGGATCGTGTCTTTAGTGCACAAACGCGGTCCTCCGATACCTAAAACATCCATCATGTAATATCGCATGGACCGGAAGTACGTGGACTCAAAGCAACCTGAGAGAAAATGTGAATATTTGATGGGAGCGTGGCACGCATGTGAAACTCGCGTAGCTACCGAGCACAAGAGAACGTTCTGATCAATCTTGCACAATTAGTAATGTCTCTCTGTTTGACTTCAGCCAGGCCGCCACAGCGCTGTTGTTCGGCTCAAGCTTTGCCTGGCTGGTATCGCCCATAGCGCCACCTGCGGTTGTATCCCAAACTCCAGCCATATGCACACAATGGTTCATGATTCCTGATGGCCCATGCTATCACGGTGCAACGTATTCTTGCGACCACGTGACCACACAGGAAAACCAGGATAACAGTTACGTCACAATCACGCACTGATTCCTATTCGGAGGAGGGTGATAACAACAAGTTTGAAAAAGAGAAAAAAGATTATGATACTCTGTTCCGCCTATCCACGAGCGACACAGACTCATGCTCCTCATGTATCCATGTACCCCATCCCGATTTCCATAATTCACTTTTATGAGCACTGATTCTCTTCTGTCAGAATTTCTTCCTCAGTTCTCGTTTTTTTCTCCTTTTGTTGCCATCTACATTATATTCTGATAACGATCTTGAAACCTGAAAGCTATCAGGTGTTTTGGAAGTGATTGTCACTGTTGAAACGGTGCATCGCTGTAAGCTTTCCCCTGATCATGTTTGGTCTTGAAGAGCACTGATAGTCGTACTCATCATGCACAATCTTCTTCAGCCTACTCGAGCTCAAGGGAATAGGGATGAATTCCCAAGACACTATGTTTTGAGAAGCAAGTGATGCTTTCTTGCCGGTTTGGCAAGTGGAACGTTCAATGATTTTACTGTCTGCTCAGTCAATCAAGTGTCAATGCAGATTGGCAGGAAAAGCAAGAATTTCAGTGAGGGAGAGCAACCAGCTTTCTTATTATTATGAGTGGTTTAACATTGTCCTCCAGGCAACTATCTGGGCATTTGTCATGTTTTTATACAAAATATGTTGTTACCACTATTTACCTCTCTATGTATTCAGCCCAGGTATCAGCACAGACGTGTGAAGCTACACAAGGCATCACTATCGGAGTATTCATTGGAACCTTGTCAGCAAGCCTGGTACTCGGTGCACTCATTATGTTCCTGTTCACACAGTTTGTACAGCGAAAGCGTCGCTCAACGCAACAGGAAAATACAAGATCGGATATATTTCCTGAGAGTACAACACATGCCACACCTAACATGGCGTATGAAGATGCAGAGATAGTGGAGACAACACTCACAAGCAGTGAAGCATACGGAGTTGCTGGGACTGCAGACCCGCACAATTATGAGTTTGTAAGGCCTTGAAGATTACATGTACGGGAGCTCATTCCACTGATCAAAGCTTGTGCTCTCAACATTCACACGCCATCGCAATTTGTCACCGCACCACCCTCTGCTTCCTTGTGTTTAATGAAACTGGTTTCACTCTAATAAATCGCATCGTCCAAACTTCTCACTGCTGGGATTTCATGCAACCATATTACTCGTATTTCCTTGTGAGTTAAATAATTTAAACCGCGCCGCGTGCGTATTATTTGCATACTCTGGCTTTCAAAGGTTGCAAACACAAACGTTTAGTGTGTCTTAGGATGTGCATATAAATGTACCCGTAATAATATTCCCGCTAGTTCGCTTTGGTATAATTCATCATTGAACAGTTCGACCCGTCTTTGAGTGCATAGTATGACTGGTTCTAGCATGATAGACCTACTCGAAATCAATTACCATTGCCTGCCCCTCGTTTGTACTAACTTCTCAACTCACCGTTGTTTACGGCATTTAGGGCCTTTGGCTTGCCCTTTGCCGAGACACTTTTCGCCTTCAAGAAGGTTCTTCGAAAGGCAATGCTCTTTAACACCCCAGTCTATACCGATATATATATATTTTCCTCTGTTTCATTCTTTTTGCATTTATGCTCTCGGCCCATGTTTGAATCTACCCTCACTTTCTTGTTTTGGCTCTTTCCATTATAATCATGCCTTCAAGTCCAGACAGTAGGCACATTTCAAAATTATTCCTTGCGTGTTTCCAGTACCTCCATTTCCATTTCATACGTTTCCAATTTTTAAAATGAAAGTTTATGAAAGTTTGACACCTGCACATGAGTCTCTGATGTCTTTTTCCTAGTACTCTTTTCATCCACACGTGAGGTGGAGGAGGAAGATCATGGCACTCATAGCCTTCATCGCAGATACTCAAAATTGGAACATGGACTTTGACAGTATTGTTCAGCAAACTTGAAAACAGTTTGAATTGAAAGAGATAGGCACTGTAGGATGATCCGGTACCTGAGCAAAGAAACGTGCCACGCTCGAGACCTGTTTGGAAGTGGAAAGATACATTACTGACCACTGTTAATTTACAACTTGTGGTCTTCGATAGGAGTAACATGGCTGCAGTGAATTTATTTTTGCGGGCTTTGCCGAATTTTTGGTAGGTCAGATTAACTATTCCCCCCTCCCCAAATAACCACTTTGGAGGTTGCTTCCGCCATTTGATGTTGGGAGGTGGTGATGGTGATGAGATTCTACATCACAAAAGAAAAAGAGTTTCGTCAATCGACAACGCTGTTCTAATCTCATGTCGTTCACTCTTTAATCTGAATGGTGTCTGTTATTTGCAACTACCACATTACACCGTTGCGCTCTTCGGCCGACCTCAATGTTGCCCCAGCACACCATCAGTAAAGCTAAACTACAGTTGGCACTTTGCTCTGTCAGACAGCAGCTGTTTTGATCATCAGGATCTCTTCAGTGAAGGTTGATAATGTAGAAAGGCTAACTGATAGTGAAATTCACCCTTTTGTAGCAAAAATGGTAAACATACTGGTGCATCGTAGGAATGAAGACTAGGGCCAAGCAAAAGAGTTTAAAATGTCATAGACTATATTGAGGAAAATGTGATTGAGAGTAGATGTAGTGATAGCCATGTGTGACTTCAATAGATGGCACAGCATAGCTAGTAGCAACGCCAGTGGCCCATGGGGCATTCTCTCCTTCCATACGCCCACCACACCTCACCATTGCCAGGTCACAGCCATCCTTTAGATTCAATGATAATGCCCTAGCTTAACAATACAGTGCTAAACACACGCTCACAAAATCTCATTCGATAGGCCCATTGGACATTCGCTCTTGAAACTCCGCCATGGTTTGACATACGCCTGTAGTTAACATAAGGGCGTCACAGCTATTCCGAATCTTCATGAAAATTAATGTCGCTGGCAATTTTCAGTCTTTCTTTATCAGTCTCCTTGTCTCGACCACCGGCTGCTACATGCACTTGACTGGCACAAGTACGTACAATCAAGAAGAGGAAGCAGCATGATTCGGCCTTGTCCAGATTATTATCAACCACCACACCACACCTTTGCGATCTCCAGCCGACCTCAACACGTTGCCATAGCACGCCATCAGAAAACGACACTTCAGTTGGTACTTTGATCCTTCAGACAGCTACTGTGTCGATCATCATGATCTCGTCAATGAAGGTTGATAATGTGGAATTGCTAACAGATAGTTCACACTTGTCACGTGCCTGTTGTCATGTCGTTACTAGCATCCGGCCAATAAGAGCAACACCGTATCAGTCGGAAATGCCCGGGTACAGTGTACCCATTAGGAGTGATCTCAGTAGTACTACGTATGTTGGTCCACTGCCAATTGTGTACCAGGCCATGCTAGGATTTACCGGGTGTTAGCGGCCGTCGTGAGCTCCCTTCGGGAACGGACACGATAATTTACTTCCTTTTTTTCATGCCAAGTGCTTTGACCTGGTACGTAACCGGCAGCACTCCAGCGCAGATAGAACAACGTGGGAACATTCCTAAGGACACCACATTCGCTCGAGTCAACAGGCGTCGGCGCCCTTTTACAGGAAACCATAGGTTTTATTTGATGGATGAGCGAAATTCAGCTGGTGAATTAGACATGCAGAAAGCCAATGGAAGTGCGCTCTACCCGTCACCGTTTAAATAAGACATCGCACTGAAGCCATATCGGGTGTTAGCAGGGGGGAGAACGAGAGCAGCAGAGACTTGGCCACGGGTGGTGGCTGCAGTGTTGACACCATGGGCGCGCAAGGTAAAGCGATCTCGCAGAAGAGGACTGGCAATTCCATTCAGATAGCCTTAAACAAATACATAAGTTTTGAAGTTGAGGCGTTACTCAAGGGTGAACAAGTTAGTATGACTGTATAGAAGAGTGACGTAGTCATTCTATCCAACGAAACTGTAGTGTATGTGTAGTTGCATTACATCATTATTGTGTGTACACCAGTCCGCATGCGCGGTCTCTGAATCTGTATAACTTGTAGGGGAGCGGTGTTCTTTTCCCGCGCCTTGCTTGCTTTCGGACTGCTCTTCCAGATGTACTTGTAATGGTAGTTTTCTCCGACCCTGTTATTGTGCTTTGCTGAACCCGACATAACAGAAACTATTCTCTTTAACGCCACGCGGCTTGCAGTAAGAATGAAGGAATATAGGGTTTGTGAAAAGCAATGAATGTATGCAGTGGCGCCAAACTCAAATGTGGACTGAATTATCGATAGATGGAAGGTTCGTTTGCCAAAAATACTGATTTTGTGCTTTGCATGTTCAAATGCTCCAACCTTCCTATTGACAATTGCACGTACTGTCCGCTTGGTTTGAGAAAGACAGATGTTCGTCAACCAGTCTGCCTAAGTACGAATCGGTAGCAGATGGGACTATGGAAGTGTCCCAGCAGTTGACAGCGGTAGACCTGTGTCTCATATAAGATGTGCCATCCTCGGCCTAAAGTTTGATTCAAAGCTTGTGGGAAGCACTGTGTTGCATAACGGGTGCGAATGCAGAATAACAATGGACCGAGCACTGAGCCTTGATGGACGCCCCTTGTGCAAGAGCGGGTCCCACCTAGCTGCTGTCCTAACCTTACTCGCTGGACGCGGCTGGTAAGGTAGCGTGCAAACCAAGCAAATGCAGAGTAAGCAATGCCAAGCATCTTCAACTCGTCGACGAGCTCTTGATGCTTAACTCCTTCAAAAGCTTTGCTCATATCTGGAAACACTATGCGCAGTACTCGTTGTTATCAAGTGCTTTGAGCCATTTGTCAACCACTAGCACAAATTAGTCCTCACACGAGCTGTTGGTACGATAAGAAAAGTCAATTGATTGTCAGGCACGTACATGATGTTGTGTAACTTAAAAGAATGCAGTCAGCCGCTCCAAGACAATTCGTTCTAATATCTTGCTGCATATGGGCAATAATGAGACTGGTCTGTAATTTGTAGAGCTTTCTGCATCACCTGATTTGGAAACTGGGCTGGCTGAGGCATTCTTGAAGACATCTGGTACGCACCCTGTGCTCACTTTTCTGGCGTGTTGTCCGATGGTGCTAGTCATAAGATTTGCCCAAAATCATATCAGCGGTAGTTATCCAGGACGTCTTTATGTTAAGAGGCCTTGGGAAACAGGGATGACAACTACGTGTCATGTGGTTCCACCACCTGGCTATTCAAATAATTATATTCCTAGACTGGTGCTCACTGGTATGCTTGTGAAATGTTGCCGTAACTTACCGCTCAGGTATGCCTGGTGTCTGGCGACATTCCAATCCAGTTAAAAAATATAAAGTACTGCCAGGCGCTGAGGTATGGAGCACCCAAGACCAAAGAGACTAGAGATCCACCAGGACCAGCTTATTGATAAAATTATTATTAGCCTGTGATTCAACTGAGCGTAGATATGCACATGGAAATTATAAGGCCTAGGCTAAAACTTTGTCACCCAGTTCCTGCCGACAGTACTGTAGGTCTGGGGAGGGTTACATGCAGACCCTTCTATACTGATAAAGGATCATCAATAGCTTGTGTGACATTAACCTGAAGCACTATCTCGTCAGCTCAAACTAGGATGCTACTTCCCGCCCTTGCGCCTGGCCAGACCGTCACAACCCCGTATTCAGGTACATGTAAATGGTTTAAAAACTATTCGAGGGCAGTGCGTTTTGGCTCAGTTTCATTTCTTTCGTTTCGTCTCTGAGTAAACTCAGTCTAACTTCATCATAGCAATCAGAAGAAACCGCAAAGCGAAAAATTGCATGTAGTAATAACCGACAAGAATATGACCAGGACTAATTATATCGGCGAGGAGACAAACCGTAGTATTGAAACTTGAAGAATGTAAACGTGGTCATCAGAAAGAAGTGGAGGTATCATTATCATAGAAACGTTTTCTTGTGGCAAACATCAGGAATCAATAGCCGATATGGGGGTACAGTTGAAACAGAATCAGAATAATATCAGGAAAGAAAATCACAGAGAAACAGAATGTCCAACAAATATCAGAAACAAAACGTATCATCACTGTTGCAGGCAGCGGTTAAAAGGAACTAGAAAAAAATTCCGAATGACCACTTTTGATTCCTCTTGTACTGAAAGCTGACCAGGATGTTACTGTACATGTATTCGCCATCAAAGATCATAACCAGTAGTTACCAGGTAGTCCTACTTAGCGGGATAAGTGAATAGATCATCCGACAGCAAAGGTAACACCTAACGGTCATGTGGTATTGCCAACAGCCTGCTTCTGTCTTCTTAGAGACTGAAAAAACTAAAAAATTGCACGAATGTACTTCAAAAGTATAATACAAATTGTAGCCGGCACAAGCAAAAACGTGCCTAATGTCGCCAGAGGTAGATTTTGAATTGTTGTGCTCATTCTGTGCAGAATTTCATCAGGAAGCTATTAAAAAAACAGGATGGAAAAATACTGAGGGAGTGCAAAGATATGATCATTTATATAGGCTCCGTTTTGAGTTACTTTGCAGCAAATTGTCACGAAATCATGTGATAATTGCAAGTAGCGCCAGTGCATTTTTCAGGTACTTTTAATATCACAAAGCCCGCTAAATCTTCTCTGGGTGGAGGTGAAATCAGCATGATATGTCCTGTATAGTGAGTAACATGTCATTTAAGAGGTTAGATCATTTTGATGGACTGCTATGTACAAGTATAGAGTCGGATACAATTGACACGCGGAAATACAATTACATACGAATACAGAAATGGTCATCGGCAA